TATAACCAAATATTTGAATATTTATATCTGAAAAATATAATTGTTGTATATGAATTTTTATTAAAGAATGGAGTGTTACTCTAGTTCATGATGATTCTTATTCGTGCACAAACAATATTGGAGTGTGATTCATGATATATATTGATATATATACTATAAATGCTAGATCTATCAGAAAATACCAATTGATTTTGTATCTATCGTTAAATTTATCAATCGTTTCAACGCTAGTTGGTAATTTACCAACTACTTCATCTATATATTGATAAATTTTCTAACTATTTCAATAGCAGTTGGTAATTTGCTAAGAAACTAGGCTCCATTATTGGTGGTAATTATTACTAACAAATTCCACATCATAATAAGTAATATTAATAATTAATTTTAATCTGTTAATAAATTACAAACCAAAATCTTGATCTATTAGTAAAGATTTCCAACCGATTTAGTATCAGTTAGCAAGTTTACTAACCGATACCATTCGGTTGGTAATTTACTAACGTATTTTAAATTGGTTGGTAAATTAGCAACAAAATTCTTTTATTGGTAAATAGTTGGTTGGTAATTCGTTACTAATCTGTTAATAAACTATACTTCATTTTTCCCACCATATTTAACAACGGATATGTACTCCGTTGGTAATATTACCAACGAAAAATGTTTGTTGGTAATATTTGAGTTGGTAATCCGTTAGTAAGCAGTTGCTAGATTAGCCGCCTATTTTTCCCGCCATATTTACCAACTAAATTATTTAGTTAGTAAAATTTTGGTCGGCAATTCGTTAGGAATCCGTTACTAAATTTTAAAAAGTAAATTAGTTACCATTTTGTTAGTAATCTGTTGCTAATACACTAACAAATTCGGGTTGTTGGTAAAATCCGTTAGCAATTGGGGTTTTTTTTATAGTGTCATCAAGGAATAAAAATGCATATGGGCGAACGTCCCACCTATCGAAGTGATAGCCTCGTAAGACTTTAGTTCTCATGGCCGTAGGTATGGCGGGGCGGGACGGGTGTAGGGCGGGTTTTACCTTGTTCGGAGCGGTGTGGGTTTTACCTTGTGCGGTGCAGGGAAGATGTGGGGCAGGTGAAAATATTTTTTTTTAAATCTAATGCAAGTGCGGGTCAGGTTGTGGGTTTTAGGAGTTTTACTTAAAATTTTGAATTCAAAATGCTTTCAAAGTTTATACTACTAACTTAAACAGTTATGGTCTTGAATTTATTTTTTTAGCTAGCATCTTTTTTTGTCTGACACACTTAATACTGATTTATACTATTTTGATCTTCGAAACAAATAAATCTGCAAGTTTTATCAAAGGAGAAAAAGAAAAACATTAGAAATATGTTTCTACTGATTTGACGCTGCCAATTTACAATAAAATCAAAATTACCACCTACTTAGAACCATAATCAAGTAAAGAAAACAAAATAAATAACACATTCAAGACCTAGAATATAGCTAACAGTGATGGGTTTTGAATTTTTTTTTTTTTATTTCACTTTAACATTGATGGGTTTTGAATTTATAAAGTTACTGTACTCTAACTTCCAATTTCGCATCTTATTATTTATCACATTAAACTTAACAATTTTGTATAACTATATTTTCTTAAGTTGTTTTAAAGAGATTACTATCATTTTGAAGTTCTATTTCGTTCTGAAAAGAGAAATTAAGTGAACAAGTTCTTATAAATAAAAAATTAACGTTATTTTGGCAATTGAACTGAAGATACAAGTAGCTAATAGTCTAATATTATATCCTTAAATTTCAAATATTAAATTTATATTTCTTTAGCAAAAGTAACAAAATAAATTTTTCTTTACGCGGGGTGGGACGGGATGGGTCTTTGCAGGGCGGGTGCGGGGGGTTGATCAAAACTTGTTAAAAAAAAAAAAAAATACATTTATCTCCTCTGTAATTTAAACATGAAACATCATACGTGTGGTTCTCAACCCAACCACTAATTTTAGATAATTAGCTAAAAATGGCGGCGAACTAACTTTAGTTACATGTTGAAGATGGAGTCCTTGATTCCGTGTTGATATTTATTGATATACTAATATCATTGTTTGACGTAGTTATCAACATCCACTTAGTAAAAATCAAATCAATGATAAGGTTCAATGATTAGGACAAGTTTTGCCTTTTTAGGCATTTTGGGTCAATTGTAGTTGTCGCTCTCAATTTGTTTAAATATACATATTTCACGAGTGAAAGAGATTTACAATTGGGTTGCCATCCATGCCATGCCACCATTAATCAAAATTATATTCTCGTCGTTGCGAGAAAATTACAGATATTGAAATACGAAAGTTACTTCATTTTCAATCGAATCATTAATTCCTTCCCTTTTACTGAAGTAAATTTTACAAAATTTATAACTTACGCACGGGTATCATAAATCACAATTAATTTTAGCTCTTAAATTTTGACATCTATTCCTTTATTTTAAAAGTATAAAGAGTATAACATGTTGATGTTTAGCTTAAAGTATATATATTTATATGTATATCGCCTTATGTTTTACTCTTGTTTCGTGAATTTAGGATGTAAAATATGTTGATTTATATTAATTTAAGGTGTTTTGATGTGTAGGAATGATCCGGGAGAAATTTGGGGCGAAAAGGTGCGAGATTAGAGCCAAAACGGACGAAAAAAGCAAAAATGGCATTTTCAGCGCCCCACGCTACCTGTGGCGCCAGAGGCACTATGTGCAAATTGTCAGCATGGGGCGCTGGGCTGGACGCTGGTGGCGTGGTTTTTGTCCAACTTTGCTCGGGACAAAGTTATTTCGGCCCTAACCTACCCAACGCGTATAAAAGAAAGACTCAGTTTATTTTTAGGGGGGAGACGCCACTTTGAAGGAAGAATACACACAGGAAACATTCGGGAGCAAGAACATCTCAGATTTCTTCATCTTTTCTTAGTATTTTCAATTATCCAACACTTATGAAATTGTTTGCTATTATCATGAGTGGTTAAAACCCATAGTTCTGGGGTTGTGATTTAGCCATGAATATTGTTGTTTAACGTTGACTTAACCTTGATTACAATTCACTAATATATGGTTGTTTCTTCAATTCTGTGATTAATTGCTTAATTGTCTGGCCAGCAGTTATGTTCTATTTACTATCTATGCTATGCTTGGGAAAAGCCATGTTTAGATTAGAGATGAATTGAAGAGAGCGTGATCTTAACTCTGAGGGGGCGAATTTATGGTTAGGATTGGATTATACCTAGTCACCGTGCTTAATTAAATATCGTAACCTTAATGCGTTCTTAATAGATTGATTTCATAGGAATATAGGCGTAATCTATTTTGAATAGGCGAGTAGTACTTGGGGAGAAGGCTATGAGAGCAATAATCGATTAATTAGCAACTATGAGTGAATTATATGAAAGGGAGAGTTAACTAGAACACAATAGGATTGGTGAATCGATCACAATCCTGGAATATTTGTCTCTACCGAATACATAACAATTATTTTACTGCTTGATAATTTAGCTACTACTTAGAATTATTGTTTAGTATAATTACACTCTTGAACTCGAATTGGCTCGACTGAATAGCAATCTTGGTAAATTTAGTGGGTAGTTTATACAAGTCTCTCTGGGTTTGATACTCGATTTTTTATTTTATTACTTGTACGATCACGTATACTTGCATGTGCGTTTGGGAGCGACAAGTCTTTGGCGCCGTTGTCGGGGACTTGAATATTGACTACTTTCTAGTTTTTGCTTTCACTGTTTATTTCGTCAAGTCTAACGTTACTTGATTGTTCCTCTGATCTCAGGAACTCTGATTGAATGCGCAGGGTCAGAAGCCCGGACCAACTTCAAGGCTTTGACCTCGAACCTGAAATAACATTTCATAGGAGGTTGAGGGAAGCAAGGGACACGAATAATATTCAGGCACTTGTTCAATTTTCTGTGAACGTGGCAGAGGAACATATGGCCGTTTAGGAGGTGGCAATGCCCAGCATTGCTAATGTCACCTCCAGCATAGTGAAGCCCAGGATCGTTGGGCACTTTGAGCTGAAACAGAGCATGATCCAGCTACTTCATGCGAATGGGCAGTTTATGGGTCTTCCACACGAGGATCAGCAACAGCATATCCTTAACTTCTTGGACATTAGTGATACTTATATCACTAACGGGGTCACTCCATACTATGTGAGGCTCACACTTTTCCCGTTATCTCTGTTGGGTGAAGCAAAGCGATGGCTGAAAGCAGAACCAGCTAATTCTATTACACCATGGAATGACTTTGCAAGAAAAATTTTGGCAAGGTTCTTTCCTTCAGGCAAAACTGCAAAGATCAGAAGTAAGATAGTCGCCTTCAACCAGAAAGAGGGGGAGTCTCTATACTCAGCTTGGTAGAGGTTCAAAGAGCTACTCATAGACTGTCCTCATCACAATCAAACAAACAAAGTGTTAGCTCACACTTTCATAGAAGGGCTACATGCTGGAAAAAAATTGTGGTAGATGATGCAGCTGGAGGTCAAGTGTTGGAGAAAAGCTTTAACGAGATATATGCATTATTGAACAAATTATCAAAAAGCAATTTGGATTGGCAAGGAGAAATGGGCGGATACACGGTGCAAAATTCTGCAGGGGTTCTCGAGTTAGATGTCGTCTCCGCATTATCAGCGCAGATTTCTACACTGGCCAACCAAGTCAATCAGATGACCATGGTTATTAACAAGCAACAAGCTCAACCAGTGCAACAGGTTCAAGTGTTTTGTGAAGTATGTGGAGAGGGTCACACGAGCGATATATGCCCAGTTAATCCAGAGTCCGTCTGTTTTGTGGGTAATGCAAATAGGGGCCAGACAAACCAATATGATAACACTTACAATCCCAACTGGAGGAACCACCCAAACTTTTCTTGGGGAGGAAATTAAGGTGCTCAAAATCAATATCAACCACAAGCACCTCAACAACAATATAGACCACCTCAGGCTGAACAACAAGCAAACTCAACAAGTCACGATGAGGAAATGATGAAGAAATTGATGGCTGATCAGCAAGCCCAAGCCACGGCAATGAGAAATTTGGAGCGCCAAGTGGGACAACTTGCCACTGCCCAAAATACAAGACCAGTTGGAGCTCTTCCAAGTGACACTGAAGCTAATCCTACGGCATCCGTGTCATTGACGAATGGGAGATAATTAGAAGAAGTCGAGTCAAAATAGAGAAAACATGTGACTTTTAATAAGAAGTCAGCCATTATAGAATCAAAATCAGAAAAATCAAAGGATTTAGAAAAGCTAGCTGAAGGGGCGGTGGTTGAGCAACCCCCACCATTGGTTGCTAGGCCACCACCTTGGTTCCCTCAAAGATTACATAAAGTGAAGGATAATGCCGCGTATAAAAAGTTTCTTGATATTTTGAAGCAGGTGCAAATTAATTCTTTGATAGACATCTTGCAAGAAGTGCCCAAATATGCAAAATACATCAAGGACATAGTGGCAAATAAAAGGAGGCTGACCGAGTTCGAAACTGTGGCACTTAATGAAGAATGTAGCTCTAGAATCCAAAGCAAGCTACCTCAGAAATTGAAGGATCCGGATAGTTTCACTATCCAAATATCGATTGGTAAGCATGCAGTCCGGCGAGCTTTATGTGATCTTGGAGCGAGCATCAATTTGATGCCGCTATCTGTGTTCAGACAGTTGGGGTTGGGTGAGCCACGCAAAACAATTGTAATCTTACAGTTGGCTGACCGCTCCCTTGCTCATCCAGAAGGAGTGATTGAAGATGAGTTAGTTCAAATGGGGTCTTTTATATTCCCTGCTGATTTCATTATCTTAGACTACGAGCCTAATCAGAAAGCCCCATTTATTTTGGGACGTCCATTCTTAGCCTCGGGCCGAGCTATTATTGATGTTTGCAAAGGAAATATGACAATGAGAGTAGGTTATCGTGTGGATGTATTCAATGTATGTAAAGCACTCAGATTGCCAGCCCACTATGAAGAGCTATCCATGATTTCTATGGTGGAAAGTGATGCTACATCCTTAGTGCCTTATATGAGTCGTATATCCTCTTGAACGAGCTTTGATTGGGGAAGAAGAAAATAGTGAAGATGAAATGATGGGAGAAATTGAGATAGTACTTGATATGTCCTGCAGTTATGTCCATGGGTTTGGAAAATTTGAGGAGTTGGACAGGTCTGTCACTCCGACCCCTCCTAAGCCATCTATTGAAGAAGCTCCAAAGAAAGAACTTAAGCCCCTACCAGCGCATCTTCGCTATTCTTATTTGGGGAACTCTGAGACATTTCCCGTGATTATCTCATCCAGCTTGACTAACATACATGAAGAAAAATTGCTCAAAGTAATTCGCGAGCTGATAAGTGAAGAAAAATGCATGTTTTTGAGTATGTTTGCATATAATTTCTTATGTGAGTTGCGGGAGATTACATGTTTATAAACATATAATATGCTCGTTACATGTTTATTGTGTGTAGGAATGAATTTGGATGGAACTTGAACTTAGTCGAGTCTTACACTATGGGCAAGCCTATGGTACGAACTTTGGGAGGTATACGAGTTTCATTGTGAGAGCGAGTGAATTCTTTCAATATTTGAGTCCTTGAATGATACTTGAACTTATATTTGAGTGTGTGGACTACTTCTCTCTGTGGTTTGTTGGTAAGAGCACACGATTTGCGAAGGATTGGTAATGTCCTTGATTTTTGAGTTGGCACAAGAAGCAAGTCATAGTATGGAATATATTAGAGTCAATTTTTGAGGCTAAGATGTTAGAAGAGTCACACAAATATTTTAAATAGTCTTGGCATTGGTCTAAAAATGAGGAGAGTATGAAGAGTCCTTATGTCGGGTTCTAAGCATTGATATAAACCACTATCATTGATATGATGCTTGAGTTTGTTTTGGAATTGTGTTACTTGCCGATGTGCTTAATTTTAAGTTGCTCGAGGACGAGCAAGAGCTTAAGTGTGGGGTAGTGATAAATGATGAAAAATGCATGTTTTTGAGTATGTTTGCATATAATTTCTTATGTGAGTTGTGGGAGATTATATATTTATAAACATATAATATGCTCATTACATGTTTATTGTGTGTAGGAATGAATTTGGATGGAAGTTGGCGAGAATTGGATGATTTGATGCAAAAAGAGTAGAGATGCAAGACTTGAAAGCGTGCCACAATTGGTGCATTGCATGAAGGTAGGCACGAAATGGCCTAGGAGGTGAACAAAAATTAGCAAAGTATGGAGGTTGGCACTGACCTGGCACACGAAAGAACAAAGAAGAAAAAAAAAGAAATAACTGGGAGCGTGCCAGAAGTCGCGCATTGCACCAACTCTGGCACGCGACTCAGCGTATCCTTTTTGAATTAGGAGAGCTCAAGGACGCCCCGTATCAATCCTAATTGATATAAATACATCATAAAACGTCCTTTTGAAAAGAGAGACACTACTTGAGGGTTAGACAACACCCTTGGAGGCAAGAACACGCTAGGAGCAAGGAGGAAGATTCAACCACGAGTTTCCTTCTTCTTCCTATTTTTATTGTTGGTTATGAATTTGAGTATTGCGTTTTCACATACTTTTATGAATAGCTAATTTATTGTCTAGAACTTTGATGGAACCTCTTGGATGATGAATTCTTGTTATGTTTCAATGTAATTTAACCTTTGATTTTATCTACTTGTTCAACGGCGTGCTTATTTCAGTTGATTGAATGCCCATCGATTGACTGTGCCTATTTAGTATGTGTTGATTAAGAAAGGATATATATTTAGGTGGTTGTTGAACAACGTCACTCCTAAGGTATATGAGAGATTAATACGGCGAGTTTAAAAGCGGGATTGGAGATAACGAAGCTTTGACGTGATCCTACTGAGCGGTGAAAAAGTGCGAGCTAACGTAGTTAGAGAGAATATGACTAGTACATTATTGTAGTTGCTCGAGAGAGAATTACGATTAGTCGAGTGCTCATGACCAGTAGAGAATACTTAGACGAAATTGTAGAAGATGTAGCAGGAAGGATTCCTACATTTGGGCAAATTATAACTCTAGTCCTCCTTAATCTTGTCTCCAACCCTTAGTATCTTTAGTTGTTAACTTAGTAAATTAATTTGTTAGATATAAGAATCTTAATCTTTATAACTTAGGAATTTATTTGAGCTTATCTTCATAGTGATATTGAACAATTACAGCGAAACCTTTGTTTTCTATGGGATTCGACTCTGGACTCTTAGACCGGATTATATTTACATCAACCGCTTATCCTTTTCAAGACTAGATTTGGGCGTGATCACGAGCATAAAAATGCTATTGGGTGGACAATTTCTGACATCAAGGGAATCAGTCCATCGTTTTGCATGCATAAAATCTTCTTGGAAGATGGACACCGCCCTAGTGTTGAGCAACAAATGAAGTTAAATCCCATTATGAAGGAGGTCGTGAAAAAAAAGTAATTAAGTTGCTCGATGCAAGTATTATCTTTCCTATTTCCGATAGCAACTGGGTAAGCCCAGTTCAATGTGTGCCCAAAAGGGGGAGGGGGGTGACTGTGATTGAGAATGAGAATAGTGAGCACTTGCAATGTGACGGGGTGGAGAGTCTGTATTGATTATAGAAGGCTCAACAAAGCAACCCACAAGGACCATTTTCCACTTCCATTCATTGACCAAATGTTGGACAGATTAGTGGGGCATGAATATTATTACTTCCTTGATGGTTATTCGGGATACAATGAGATTGTCATATGCCTAGATGATCAGGAGAAGACCACTTTTACTTGTCCTTATGGCACTTCGCCTTCAAGGGAATGTCGTTTGGTCTTTGTAATGCACCAGCTACTTTCCAAAGATGCATAATGGTTATTTTCACAAATATGGTGGAAAAATTTTTGGAAGTTTTTATGGATGATTTTTCAGTCTTTGGGTCTTCTTATGATGATTGTTTGAAGAATTTTAGCAAGGTGTTGGCCCGTTGTGAAGAAACAAATCTGGTATTGAATTGGGAAAAGTGCCATTTTATGGTGTAGGAAGGCATCGTGTTGGGTCACAGAGTGTCGAGGAGCGACATTGAAGTTGATAAGGCGAAGGTGGAGGCAGTTGAAAAATTACCTCCACCTATTTCTGTGAAGGGTGTCCGGATTTTCTTGGAACACACGGGATTCTATCGATACTTTATTAAAGATTTTTCTAAAATTGCTACTCCTTTGTGCAGGTTACAAAGGAGTAGGAGTAGCCTCCGTGGAGGACAAGATGCGGGAGTCGCGGCTGAGATGGTTCGGACATGTTAGGAGAAGAAGCATTGATGCCCCTATCAGGAGGTGTGAGAGGTTGGCCATGGAGAGTTTGAGAAGGGGTCGAGGTAGGCCTAAGAAGTACTGGGGAGAAGTGATTAGGCAGGACATGGTGTTGCTTCAGCTTACTGAGGAAATGACCCTTGATAGGAGGATGTGGAGGTTGAGGATTAAGGTAGAAGGTTATTAGGTAGTTTATAGTGTTTACCGATAGGCTTAGTAGCGTGCATGTCCCTTCATATTCTTAGATTTTATTACGATATGTGATTTTGTTTGCCTCAGGTATTGTATTCCCTGTTGCTATTATTTGATACTATTTATCCTTTATCTCTCCCTTTCTTCTCTTCCATATTTCTTCCTTCCTTGCTTCCCTCTTCTTCTTCTTGCCCTTGCTGAGCCGAGGGTCTATTGGAAACAACCTCTCTACCCGCATTAGGTAGGGGTAAGGTCTGCGTACAGACTACCCTCCCCAGACCCCACATGTTGGGATCAAACTGGGTTTGTTGTTGTTATTGTTGTTGCTACTCCTTTATGCAGGTTGCTTGAAAAAGATGTAACTTTTAATTTTGATGGTGCCTGCCTCAAGGCATTTGAAGAACTCAAAAGGAAGTTGCTGGCAGCTCCCATTATTCTAGCACCAGATTGGTCTTTACCATTTGAACCTATGTGTGATGCGAGTAACCATGCTATTGGGGCAGTGCAAGGCCAAAGGAAAGACAAGGTGTTTTATTCCATCTACTATGCGAGTAGGACTCTTGATGATGCACAGCTAAATTACACCACCACTGAAAAGGAGTTGCAAGCCGTTGTGTGGGCCTTTGAGAAATTTTGCTTATACTTGGTGGGAACAAAAGTCATAGTCTATACCGATCATTCATCAATCAGGTATTTATTTACAAAAAAAAAGAATCTAAGGCTAGATTAATGCGCTGGGTTTTGTTGTTGCAGGAATTTGATGTAGAAATACGAGAACGAAAGGGCACAGAGAACCAAGTAGCTCACCATCTATCAAGGCTGGAAAATCACGACCAGGTGGAGGAGGATGGCCAAATTAAAGAAGTATTTCCTGATGAGCGACTTTTTGCTATCACCCAAGAGCCTCCCACATGGTACGTAGATTATGTGAATTATCTTGTGAGTGGGGTACTTCCTCCTCAAATTGAATCTGAAGCTAGAAAGAGGTTTCTACATGATGTGAACTTCTACTATTGGGATGAACCATATTTGTACAAGCAATGTGCTAATCAGTTGATGAGGAGATGTATTCCAAAAGATGAGGTAGAATCAGTGTTGTATGATTGTCATGCATCACCTTATGGGGTCCATCATGGAGGAGATAGAACAGCTGCAAAGTTATTACAGTCCGGATTTTTTTGGCCAACTTTATTCAAGGATGCCCATGCATTTCTTAAGAAGTGTGACCAGTGTCAGCGAACAGGAATAATCATTAGGAGGCATGAGATGCCTTTGAATAACATCCTAGAGGTTGAGATTCTTGATGTGTGGGGGATAGATTTTATGGGACCATTCCCATTGTCAGAGGAAACAAATACATTTTGCTAGCAGTTGACTACGTGTCAAAATGGGTACAGGCAATCGCATTGCCAAAAAATGATGCCATGGTGGTAGCTGCGTTTGTGAAAAGAACATATTTTCAAGGTTTGGGACTCCACGTGCCTTAATTAGTGATGAAGGGACACATTTTTGCAATCGGTTTTTGAATAACCTTCTAGCTAAATATGGAGTCCGCCATAGAGTTACGATGGC